CTTGATCAAAATATATAATAGTGATTATTACAATATCCAGAAATCTTCTCTAAATCAATCTATTGAAACTAGGTCCTACGCCACATCACACGCCGCGCAGCTATCCTAACGTTGCGTACATGCATGCGACTGTGTAAATAATAATCATGAGAAAAAATACCCTTCTGATTAAGAGTTCATCCGTTTAATTTTGACCTCAAGTCAACATCAACAGCAATAATTAAAATAAAAAGATAATAATTTTCAAAACCAATCTATAGTACGTTCCTGGTTTTAGTGCGACTACGTCGCGCAGCTACCCTAATTCATGACTGCCACAATAAAATCGAACCGGCAGATTCTCGATTTTGATTGGCTAAGAGCAACGTTCAAAAAAATTAGGCCGGAATTACACATAATTCTCAAGTTACGTCTTTCCGATAAGAATTTGATTGTTCAAATGATAGCCTTGGACATTTGTGGCAACATCACAATAATAATGGGTAGACTTCCCTTCCACAAATCGTTTATCGATTTAATAATCGCAGTGCTAAAAGATAAAAAAACCCGAAAGACATAGTAAGGCTATTAGTTGTTTAGATAGATTTGTGTCCGTCGCTGGCCTTGGCTCTATAATTTCTCAGATCACAAAGGAACTATTAACTTGGCTCTCAGATCACCTTAAAAATGAGAAAAATAATTTCAACAAACAGTCATTAGTATCATCTGTTTTATCATGCCTGAAAGATCATGATAGAAATATAAAAGAAGCTGCAAAATCCTGCTTAGATAATCTTGTATCTATCGCTGGCCTTGGCTGTATAATTGTTCCACTTACAAAAGAACAAGATCCCTTATTGAAAAAAGAATTATTGATTTGGCTTTCTGATCGACTCAATAATGAGAAAACCAATTTACCCAAAATACAACTATTAATCTCATATATTTTATCCTGCTTAAAAGATCGCAATGGGATAAGAGAAGTTGCAAGATCGTGCTTGAATAGTTTGGTACTTGATATCGGCCTTGCTCGTATAATTCCTTCACTTTCAAAAAATCTGAACTCTGATGATTCTCTATTAAGAAAAGAAATATTAGTTTGGCTTTCTGATCGTCTTAAAGATGAAGATAAAAAAAACAATTTAAAAAATACTTTACCTACTATATCTCCATTAGTCCCACATATAACATCGTGTTCAAAAAATCATGATAAATATACGTATTAAGGAGACTGCACAATCATGCTTAGAGTTTATTTCTAAAAAACCTGATTTAAATTCAGTGAAAAATAGAAAAAGATGTGAAGGTAAAAAAATGGAAAATTTTTCAATAATGCCAACAATTAAAGTTGTTTCAAAAGACAATAACGTGTGTGATGATAAGATTTCAAAATTATCTCATGCATCGGTATTCAAGCCATCTGTTAGTTTTACACAAAATACTGGATCCTATACAATGCGGTCGTTGGCCAAAAGGAGCACTGTGCCTCCAAGCAAAGTATGTACGAATAATGGACAGACAATTACATCTTCTAGTAATAAATCTGGCAAGAAAAAATCTACAGGCAAAAGGATTGATACATCTAAATATCCTATTCCGACCAATTTTGAGCATATAAAAGCTACAAATTCTTACGGAATCTCACCCAAAGAACAAAGTACCTATGAGCATGACTCTGAATTATTGAAAATCATTATCTCAAAAATTTCAGATGTCGAACAGCAACAGAAAATTAAGGGATTCATAGAGTTGAAAAAGTTTTTGATAAATTCTCATGAATCGATTATTCCGCATGTAGATATGCTTATTAATGTTCTAATCGATCAAATGCAGTTATCTTATAAACAATTTAAACCACTATGCTCAAATTTAATTTTGCTATTCTCTGAAGAAAGGCAGAGCTTAGCTTTTGCTATTTCTCAAGAATTACTTGAGCAGTTACTATCAAAACTTGCACATTGCTTGAATCAATGCTTAAAAGCAGATCTAGAAGCAGAAAAACAATCATCCAAGTATCTTGAATATTCAATGTTAAAGATCCTCATAAACAGTAACCGTATTACAATTTACAGGTAAATCCTTTATAATTATGTTATTTGTGGAGTAGTTTGTTGAAAATTAAAATACATGATTTCTTATATATTATAAATATATTCTGCCTTTTAACGTATTAGTGCCTTAATATCCATACTTAAAAAATCACCAGCACTATCGGAAATAATAAACAAGTGTTTGTGCAAAAAAATCTAAAAGATGGCATCCTTCTACCTAATAAATTATTGCAAGATCTCAATAACTTTTTCATTCCTACCTCACCTACAGAAAATATAGATAAAACGTCTCTCTATATAATAAAATTTTTAATAAGTGAATTGGTCAAAAGTTTTGGTAGAAAAATATTTGAACACCTAGATCTCATTGATGATCCTTTTCGAAGCCATGTATTTCCTCTCTTGCTTGATGCATACTGTGAGAAGGAAAAGCAACATGCAAATTATAAGGTAATTATTTCTTATTATTTTAAATGTAATTAATTAAATTTAGGAATCAACATTTTTCCTATTTGTAGATACTCGTTTCTGGAAATTCATCAAACTGTTCATATTCAAATTTTCAAACTAAAAATTATTTATTCTCACAAACTTCTGCGAAAAGTCCCATAATATTCAAAGTTCCTGCACAAATTAATGAGGTTCAATGTACTAGTTCAGAATCAGTTAGTTCGACTTCACTACCTAATCAAGATTATTCATCAGAATCATATGAAATGGATGTTAATACCTTTAGCCAAAGTCTCTATGAATTGTACGAACCTATGAAACATTATCTTGATTCTAGAAAACATGATATTGAAAGAAGTAAACAAAATTTAGAGAATGTCTTGGCAAACTTCAATTGCCTTAAACGTAGCTGAGGACATACATTTTAGAGAAATTCACCTACTTTCAATTCTGATGTTAACTTTAGTTAGGTTATCTATAAATTTAATCTTAACTTTCAAGGAAATGGTAGTCAGACAATGAGAAGCCATTGTAGTGTGGTTATTGTGTTCCAGTTTGAAGTCCAAGAGGAAGGGCCAAGCCGTGGTTTATTGAATTGATAGTGAACATATAAGAAGAACCGTCATTGTGTATTATTTGGTCCCCGAATCAAGTCGAAAAGGAAGACATACCTACGAACCAAATACCCACTCGCCAAATAAAGTCGCCTCTTTCGACTAAGCTGATCGTAGGTTACACGACGTCCCGGATTGTGAAGCGACCTACTCTAGAGGTCCAATCCGGATAAATCCGTCATCCGTTTATCCGTATCTGAATTATCCGGATAATTCAGATCGGATAAATAGATCCGATATCCGGATAATCCGTCTGATATTCGGATAATTATTCGAATATAAATAGTAAACAGATATTCGCTATCTGTTATCCGAGTATCCGATCCGAACTTTATTCGGATATCCGATAATTATTCTGATAAACGCTATCCGGATTGGACCTCTAACCTACTCGCCGATTTTTGGAGTCAGTAGATCTGTTTGCACGTGTTTTCAAAAACAATTATAGTTGACTAGCATATCTTCACCGATTTAGTTTAAAACTAAATTATGTTATATATATTTTATTATTTAAAATATTTTTTTATTAACAATTATATATATATTATTAAATCTGGATAGTATAATATATTATATATGTGTATATGTCAATATTTTATAATAAAATATACTTATGTTAAAATGAAATTTAATAAAATTAGGCTGTTAGGGGATTTTGAATTAACTTAAAATTGATTACGAATTTGTCTAGTAGATAATATGTTTAAAATAATAATATTAAGACTATAAATTATTTAAACTATAGCTGAATGCTTGTATCAGTATTGTATACTATATATATAGGAATCGAAACCGATACGTATTGTGAGCCGCAGAATGGTAATCCCGGAAGCACGTGGAAACTGTCAATCGAAGTGGCGCAGAAACTGTTCCACGAATACGTTGATCTTTTACTAAAAATAGGGTTACCCCGGCAGTATACACTGTATACAGTATATCGGAATCATGGGTATACTTAGTATAATAAGTATAAGCAGTAAAAGCAATATATCGCTCAAACCATGTATAACGTGTCCTAATTAAAAGAAAGTATATAATAAAGGCTTCTCGCCCTTGAGGGAAGATATCCTTCGTGATTCCAATAAAATTCGTTTCCTAATAACCCTATACCTTCTAATCTCGCTAAATAATATATACCTAACCCTAAATCTACTGCTTAAGTGACATAAGCAGTACGATCGTTGTCCCTTGTTCACGTGACGAACGTAATTTGTGCCGAAACTCTGTCCGGTTGATTCTCGAAGTACTGAGGTTGTTATTGTCCACTGTCTCGACGTCTGAGGTGGTTGTGGTTGTTTTCCAACTCTCCCAACGGACTGTGGAAAAGAAATCGACAATCAGAAATCATCGATTTCTTTTTTTTTTTTTTTTGATCTGCAAATTTCACATTTTTTTTGCAAACCGCAATAATTAGCAGCTTTGTTGTCAATCGATTCTAATCAGTATCGCTGGTAATCGGTAGGGGTGATTGACATTTCTTTCTGTCAATCGATTGCTAACCAATTTAAAATTTTCCTGATGAGATTCATGCAGCTGATTAGAACTAGTTTATATTGTTAACTGCTAGTCTGTAACAGATATAGCTCACTTTTAATGGTGTAACATCTCTATAATAAAAGTGACAAAATCTTCACATTAAGGCACGTTTTGATCGGCAACGCCTTATGCACAACATATTAGAAATAAAAATGCCACGAACGATGATTAATCAAGCCCGTGATCAGAACTACGATACCTGACCCGAGCTTTATACAGCTATCTTCCCTATTTCTAGAGTAATCGAAATTTTCGATAAGTCTCTGATGGCCGATTGACATAGAATAGACATATTAACAATTCTACTAAGGAACTTGTTGATTAATTTTCAGAAAAGAAAATTTTTCAAGTGGCCATTTTTTGACTCGGATAATGGATTGACTATTTTTATTTATATATCGCTGATATTCATTAAGTTTAATCAATAAATAACAACGTGTCCCGATTCAACATGTAACAATTGTATACTGTAAATCGCGACCTAGGTATTGTACAGTACGTTTAGGGATGGCAAATGTTTTAAAACACGATCTTAAAAATCCCGATTGTTTGATTCTTAATTGATTAAAAATGTTTTAATATGTTTTTAATAATTCTGTATATCACGATGTAATCATCATGATTGTAAAATCACGTAATTCGATTTATCATTAAATAATATTTATTGATTACTAATTACTAATGTTAATATTTGATAAACAAAAAATAAAAAAAAATAAAGTAAAAATTATCGTGAATAACTATGTCTCGCGGAAGACCTCATTTGAAAGAAATTCGGTTAAACTTTACAAAAATTACAGAAGTTGATAGGCTTGGTCGAACAACACCTCGCCAAAAGT